AACATGAAAATTAGAAATGATAAGCGTGTTACGCGTTAATGAATTGTGGGGAAATATAACTGGATTAATTAAAAAGACAGAAGAAAATAGATGGCCCGTCTTAGATGAATGTGCGTTTGATTATATTGTTATAAGTGTGCAATCAGACCAACAAAGCAATATAAAAAAACGCGAAAACCTCTCAAGAAGCGTGTGAAAAATGAAAAAATGTCCATCAATCAAGGGGTGCAATGAGACAAAGTTTATTATTAAAACAATTAGTAAGGATGGAAATGAAGTCTAGTCAATACAAGCGAATACATAAATGAATTTTATAAAATAGAACGACTAGAGAAAACAGGTATTGAATTTCCCAAAATATTATCAAGATTATCAATATTCTTGTCCAAAAATATGTTATTAATATATACGTCTCAAAGGGAGTTATAGACGGTTAATAAATCTAATGAACAATTTATTTTGAACTAGTCAAATAAAAAATAAAAAGTATTTGATTACGTGTGATAAAATAAGGTGTTTTAGGATCAAATTGTATTGTAATATGTTAAGTTTTATTGAAATGTATGACTCTGTAAAAAAGATAATATGTATGGACACGTGAACTTTAAATGATCAAGTTGCTGATGAAGTCCCCACAGTAAGGGACGAAACGTACAACTAGTTCAAAATAAATTGTTCATTAGATTTATTAACCGTCTATAACTCCCTCCTGTAAGGGGTTATATCCATTTGCGATTTTCAAAAAAAAATTTTTTTTTTTTTTTTTTTTTTTCATTTTTTGAATGTAAATACATTCAAGAATATTCTCTAAAAATTTCAAATCGATCCGACAATTAGTTTCGGAGATATGAGCGTATTAGTAAGAACGTCTCCGAGCGTTAGAAAGTAGGCGGAGCACGAGCCGGAGTAGCTGCTGTTTATGGTAGCCGCTATACTTTTGTTCTCGACTTATATTGTGTTTGGGACCCTAAGATAATAATACAAAAGGTCTAGTTTATACCTGAAACCTATGTTGAGGAATTTTAAGTTAAAAATATGTGAACTCATCAGTTAAAAGTGATTTTCCACGTGGACAAGTTGTGTTTTTGCTCAGTTTGTGTATTTCTCAGTGTGTATAGTTTAATTAATTAAAGTAAAAAATGCCTCGTAAAATTAGCAGAGAAACTCGTAGAACTTCCAGTGAACAGTTGTCTCGAAGAAATAAACGGAAGAACGTTTTTAGTCCGAAAACTGTGGAATATGATGATAGCAGTTTCAGCGCCTCAGCAAAAAAATTTAAAGCGCAAGAGGAAATATATGTAACTCGCGATACGTCAGTTGAATATAGAATTTTAAATTTTATAACTGTGTTTACGGCTATTAGTGAGTGTAAAACTTGCCGTAAGCCAGTAAAATTTGAAACAGCATCAGAACGTGGACTTGGTTTTAAAATTGTTATCTTATGTGATAAATGTAGTCCTCGTAGTGTAAACTCTTGTAACTTTGTCAAACACTCGTATGAAATAAATCGACGATTTATATTTGTGATGAGAACCCTTGGGTTAGGTTTGAAAGGTGCTACTCAATTTTGTGGGCTAATGGACATGCCAGCTTTTTTGCTCCAAACTTCATATGATATGATCGTTAAAAATATCCACGAATGTGTGTCAGTAGTCACAGATAAACTTTTAAAAAAAGCTTGTGTTGAGGAAATGAATGCCACGTCTGAACAGCAGGGTGATGAACATAAGAGTGATTTAACAGTCTCGGGAGATGGAACTTGGAAAAAAAGGGGATTTACTTCTCTATTTGGAGTTACATCTCTAATTGGATACTACAGTGGAAAAATAATTGATCTTTTAGTTAAAAGCTCTTACTGTAAGCAATGCGAGCCTTGGAAATCTCACAAGGATACTGCTGAATATCAGGAATGGTGGAAAGAGCACAAAGACGTATGCTCAGCTAACCACGATGGGTCATCAGGAAAAATGGAAGTTGATGCTGTTATTACCATGTTCAAACGTTCATTGGAAAAGTATCAAGTTCGTTTTAGAAACTACATCGGTGATGGTRACTCTAAAACTTATTCGGGGATTTTGAAGGCTGCTCCTTATGGTGAGACAGAARTAACGAAGAAAGAATGTATTGGGCATGTTCAAAAAAGAATGGGCAAACGGCTAAGAGACATAGTAAATAATACAGTAGAAGAAATGAAAGATAAGAATGGAAAAAAAAAAAAAAGTTACTTGGTGGCAAAGGTAAATTGACTGGGAAACTTATTGATAAATTAACCGTTTACTATTGTTCGAAAATTGCGCCCCTCAGACTAGATAGCAGCACCTCTTGGCTAGCATGATTAATGCGCCGTCTGTTATCGCTGAGAAGAAGACATATCGATTGTTTTTATTGATCAAGGGATCACGCCACTTGAAGTGTCAATAGGTCATTGGTCCCCTGTGTCGTCATCCTCTGCGTTGTTACCTTCCTATTGATTG